TCATGTCTTTGTTGATGACTGGAGAACTGTGCCAGGCAGCACTCCTGGCGTCTTCTCCCCTCCCCGTGGACCCTCTGTAGGACTTCCCCCCTTTGGTTTTTATTATCCCGTTCTGTATAACTGAGTCCTGCCCAGCTAACTGCCTGATGCCCGGCGTAGGCCCTGGCACCCTCCACTGGTGCAGCACTAGGAGCTGCTCCTGGCAGAAGATCAGAAAGGCTGGGAAACCTCAGCCAAGCCCCAGGTCTAGAGACCGCTACCCCACATGGGCCCAGGGCCTACTGTCATCCTTTTTCTGGGATCTGAGAGGAGTGCTAGGTGAGGGGAGCTCGGGGACTTGGAGCTGTCCCTCTGCCCAGCCACCAGTGGGCTGATCAGCTCAGGCTTGGTGTCCCTGGGTGACCTCAGCTCTGAGACTCACAGCCTCCCGTCGGGTTGTTGCTGAAGGTCGGAAAAGCCACCTTCATCTCCCTGTGCAGCCGTCATGTAGGGTGGGCAGGGGCGAGTTTACACAGACGTCTCCACTCCCCGTGTAATAGGGTCCAACCACCTGTCAGGGCCCCTCCCCTCACCTGGGACCTGGGTGGGAGCACCGCCACAAACCACTCCGCTCTCCCAACCCTGTAAGATCCGTGACTACGAGGCTCTCTCTCTCTCCCTCCTTCCTTCTCTCTCTCTTTCACTTCCTCCCTCTCTCTGTCTCCCTCCCTGCCTGCCTCCCTGGAGGCACAGAAGGAAGTGAGGCAGAAACTTCTCTTTCTCTCTCTCATTGTTCCCTTCACAAACCACTCTTTGCCTGGAAATGGCCCGCATGTGTCGGTAATTTCTTTGCCTTCAATAAGCTTCACCACTTGGCACGCTGCACGTGTGCCTCCTTGGAATACTGCTTAAAGAGTTGGACAGGGAGAGCTGGGCACCGCTATCAGCCAGGCTGGGTCAGTTCATATCACCTACTGGCAAATCCAAGCACTAGAATGGAGTGTGGGTCATGCCAGGATGGACCACAATACCAGCAAGTTCACATGAGGGCCGGGACAGGGGGTCTGGCTGGGCTGGCTAGGCTGCAGTCCCCACCAGCATGAGCTGGAACTGGGGGCAGGTTGGGCCGGGCCGAACTAGGCTGTAACACCCACTGGCCAATGTCGAGGTAAGGCAGGCCATGCCAGACTGGCCCACAATGCCCAATCAGCACACGTGAGACCCTGGGGGGAGAGTGGGCAAACAGTTTAGTGGGGCTATGGGGAGCTCCCCTGCTGGGCCACTATTCCCACTGGTGAGCATGAGAGCTGGGATTGGGGGCAGACCAGGCCGGACATGGCTACGATGCCTATTGGCCTGCATGTAAGCTGGACTGGGGACAAGCCAGGCTCGGCTGACTGTACCTCCTGGTACATGCATAAGCCGAAGGGGTTGTGGGTTGGTTGGGCTTTGTCACAACATCAGCTAGGAGATGCTGCCACAAGGGGGATATTCTGTTAAGCTAAACCGCAGAACCACCTGGAGAGTGCAAGATTCAGGAGTGGGAGTGGACCCAGTAAGGAAACAGTGGGCATCTCCCTCTGGGTTACCACTCCCACTGGTTAGCATGAGCACACGGACGGACTGGCACAGGCATGGCTAGACAGAGCGGCACCCGCTGGCACGTGTGTGGGCTGGATATGGGGCTGGCTGGGTTGAACTAGGCTTCAATGCCCATTGACATGCACAAGAGCTGAACGGGATATGGGACAGACAGGACCAGTCTGCTGTGCATAGTGGCAAGTACAGGGACCAGGGCAGGGGGTGGGCCTGGTGGGGGTTATCACAGGTTAATCTGACTAGGCTGCAGCTCCCAGGGGCTGTAGTGCAGTATAGTAATGGGGGCTGAGTGTGTAGTGGGCAGGATTGGGCTGGAGTGCAACACCTGTTAGATTGAGTAGATGACAGGGCTGGAGACAATTGACCCAGGAATTGCAACTAACAGAGTGAGTGAGTGAGTGAGTGTGTGTGTGTGTGTGTGTGTGTGTAGGTAGGTAAGTAGGTAGGTAGGTAGGTAGTCCGATTTGGGCGACAGACTCGAACCCTGTATTGGCATGCACACATAAGAATCAGGCCAGGGATAATCAGGTCTGGGATCACCTCATCAGAAGTTTCTTTGGGAATCCCTCCAACTAAACCACTGGACTCAGAACCCCAACCATGGAGAAAAGTGCAGGTTCCATGGTCTGACCGTGGAATGCATATGTCAGGGCTGGACTTCCTCAGTGGCTTGGATGGAGCAGTGGGCAGCATATCCAGGTGCACATGGAGGATATGGCAGTCCATTGGAGCCCGCAGAGGACACCTGGTGCCATAACAGAAGACGGAGGACAGAACAAATCGATCAACTACCCCAGCCTAGTGTTGGCAGTGAATACCTCGGCAAATGGAGACTGTAAGGTGAGCTATGTCAGCCAGTGGAGTCTGGAGAGATTTTATCATGATTGGAGTGGTGAGATTGGCAGCAATACAGAACTTTTGAATTATGCAAACCACTTGAGCGGGACCCTCAGAACATGCCCCACATTGGGCCCCACTTCCCATCCAGCTCCCCGCTTGTGGCCTGAGAAAGCAGTCGAGGATGGCCCAAAGCCTTGGGACCCTGCACCCATGTGGGAGACCCGGAAGAGGTTCCTGGTTCCCAGGTTCGGGTAAGCGCAGTACCGGCCGTTGCGGTCACTTGGGGGTGAATCATCGGACGGAAGATCTTCCTCTCTGTCTCTTTTCCTCTCTGTACATCTGCCTTTGTAATAAAAATAAAATAATTCTTTAAAGAGAGAGAGAGAGAGAGAAAGAAAGGAAGTGGGGAAGCCGGAATATGAGGCTGGTGGCCATATGGGATCCCGATGCTTGCCAGAGGAGAACTAGCCAATTGAGTCATTGCACCAGGTCCTATTCATATTCTTAAATAATGGTTTATTGTTCTTCTCTCCTCCCCCTCACCTCTTTTTCTTTTTTAAATGAACAGTATATTTTCTGCCCTGGAAATGATATCCCTTTCGGCCTGGCATGATGGCTCAATTGGCTAATACTGCCCTGCAAGCACTGGGATCCCATGATCGAAATTCTGTAATGTTGCCTTTTTCAAGAAGTTGGCAATTTGAAAACAAATGGAAGGCGATGTCCTTAGAGATACTATTAAAAACATTGTTTTCATTTTATATGAAAAGCAGAGCAATAGAGATGGAGAGAGCCACCATAATGGGCCGTTCATCTGCTGGTTCATTCTGCATCGGGCTGCACCAGGCCCGAGACAGGAGCCGGACACTCTGGGTGGTTCCGTGCACCATGCTCTCTCCCAAGGAGCACATTAGCAGGAAGCTGGAACTGGAAAGGGAGCTGGGGCCCAGGAGTCCAACACCCCCCTCCCCCACCCCAGCGCCTCCTCTTCCGGAGCTTCGGTCCCCATTTCTGTGTCTTGCCCGTCAATCGGCCCTGCCTTGGGGGCTCAGAGACCCTTAAGGACACAACTGGATCAAAGCTTGCATCTGCTCCTCTCCAGGTGGAATACATCCCATTGGGGTCACCTGCTGCTGCTTTCCCAGGCACATTAACAAGGAGCGGGATCCCCAGAGGAGCACCTGCCCATATCAGATACCTGCTCTATTGCACGCAGGCGGCAACTGAATCCACCATGCACAATCAGGTTTGACTCCTAGGATAGGCAGCAGCTGGACTCTGAGACCGAGATGGATGGAGACTGGTCGTTTCGGCTGTGACTGGTTGCCTGGAGAGACGGGGCAGCGGGGGTGGGGCTCCTTCCCGGGGCGGCAGGTGCTGTGTGTTGGACACCTGCCGTCACCTACGCAGGTGGGCTCTAGTGAGAGGGGCGTTCTAGCCCCCTTCCCTTCCTTAGTGACCTGCGCCCCGAGCGTCCTAGCCCCTGCAGGTGACGTGCCTTCTGGGCACCAAGTGACCATGTTCTCGCTCAGCAAACGTGCTTTCTCATTCGGAAAGTTTAAAAAGTGGAATTGGAATTAAAAACAAACAAAAAAGTTTTTTAAAAGTTGAATTGGGTTCAAAAGCCACTCTCATGAAAGCAAACATTTTTAACATTATATTCCTCAACGAAAGCATAACTTCTTTCAAGTTTGGGGACAGGCACTGCTGTGTGGTGGGTAAAGCCACCGTCTGCAGCATCGACACCCTATGCGCGCTGCTGCAGGCCCCGGCTGCTCCACTTGCGCAGGGCGGTCGCGGGTTCGCCAGACGCGTCTTTTCCCGTTCGGGGAGAGAGAGCCGTCTCCTTGGGAACGATTGCGCGCTTGTTTTCACCTTCTTGCTAATGAGACCGATTTCTTTCTTCATTTTCAACTTGTTGCACATTTTACGGAAAAATCGCTGGAATTCCCGCAGCTGTGCTGGACGCTCCGCCTCCAGGCCTTGGGGAGTTTCTCCTCCCGCCGTTACACCTTACACCGGCTGGTTTGTGTTTATGGGTTTTCGCGTTTTGGAAACATTTCCCTCCGCGGAGTGAGAGGCAGCCACCGCTCCCTGCGTTCCTTGCCCGCCTCTCCCACCTGCGCGACCTGCAGGGGCGGGCGGGGTCACCGGGCACGCAGACCCCTCGCGGCGTAGAGCCGCCAGCGCGGTGGTCGCGGGGGCCGAGAAAGGACTCTGCCAACGGTCGGTCGCTAACTTTTCTTCGGGCTACCGCTTCGTATAGCGGCCGCAGAGTCGCCAGGCTCTGCGGGAACGGGCGCTGGCGGCCAGGGCAGAGCTGATCCGGAGTCCAGGCCGAGTCCGGGGGCGCGCTCAGCCCCCGGTCCCGAGTCGCGGGTGGAGGCTGCGGTCGCCTTCGCCGGGACGCGCACACCTGTGTCCTCCCGCCCGGCGGGCGGTACCCGAGCCCTGGCGCCTCCTTAAAGCCGCCGCTCCGCCCCGTCGCCCCGCCTTCCCACTTTCCTCCCAACCGCCCGGCGCGCGTCCCGCCGAGTGCGCACAGCCTCGAGCCCGCGAGGAGCGCGCCGCTAGCCCGTTCCCAGGTGCTCCGAGCCGCCGCCGTCATGGCCAGCGAGGAGCTGGCGTGCAAACTCCAGCGCCGGCTGCAGCGCGAGAAGGCCGAGGAAGAAGACCCCCGGCCCGCGCCCCTCGCCGCCCCGCTCCCGGAGCCCAAGCCCGAGCCTGCGGCCGTGGCGCTGCCGGCTAGCGCCGACGCCGAGCTGAGCGCGCAGCTGAGCCGCCGCTTAAACATCAGCGAGGGCGCGGTGCGGCCCCGTCGCTGCAAAGTCTTCAACCCTTACACCGAGTTCCCGGAGTTCAGCCGCCGGCTCATCAAGGACCTGGAGAACAAGTTCAAACTGTGAGCATCCGCGCCGCGCGCCCCCAGCGCAAGGGGTCCCTGATGCCGCGCGGCGGGCGGGGAGGGGGCTGGGTGCGAGCCTCGGGCATCCGCCTTAGGGTGGCACCGGCGTGGGGAGAAGGGCGCAAGGACTCGGAGTGCGCTTGGCAAATTGGACACAAGGCAGCCGGATCGTGCGCGCCCGTCTGTCCCGCTCTGGCCCTTCCCTCCCTCCCCCCCCCCCCCCAGGGGGGGAGGTTCCGCGCTGCGCTGGGATCCCAGAGCCGGAGCCTCCGATGCGGGGACCCGGCCAGAGTCCCAGGCCGGGGGCCGCCAGGCCCTGCGCCTCTCCGCGGCGCGCAACTTCGAGGAAAGGGAGGAACGGAGGCTCGGGCGCGCCTCACTCGACTGCTTTAATTCTATCCCCCAGGGGAGGAATTAGCCCCTGTTGTCCTTTTATCTTTTAAAACAAAAGGAGAAAGGTAATCCTTGGCTGCCTGGCAGGGTCTGTTTTACACCCGGAGGCTCAAAGACTTGGGTAGTGCTGGGCTTCGGCGTGTCTCCGGGAGCCCCCCTGAGAGTGTCTCGGCTTACCGCCCGTCGCTGTTGCAGGCGTCGGGACCGGTCTTAGACGCTGGCTGGGATCCAGCTGGGGTCCAGCTAGGGCTCGTGCGCCCAAGGATCAGGCAGCCGCCCGCCAGGCATCAGCAGTGGGCTAAAGAGGTAGGCGTATTGGGAACTCCGAGTCAGCCCGGCTTCTGGCCTCGGTTGCCTCATCTGGAGAGTGGAGCAGTAACAGAGCCTGCCTTTTAAGGCCATCCAGTGCTACGCCCACCGAACTATTAATATTATTTCCAGAATTGGGCCGAGACCGGAAAAATGCCCAGGGGAGCGGAGGCCGGAGGCCAGCGGCCAGGTCGTGCCCGAGGCGCTTGGAGAGGTGCGCCAGAATGTGCCTGCCCCCGGTGTCTGCGAGGTTCTATTTAAAGGCGCCGTGGCCGGCCTCGCCCTGGCACCCCGGGCTGCCTGGCCCACACATGGGAGTCCGCAGTGCCCCTTTTGCCCTTGGTAACGCACGCGGGTTTCTACTTCCTCGGCCCCCAGCATGCTCTCTGCAGTTATTCTGGGTGTGAGGAGGTGGTCCCTGGCCCAGCGCCCCACTCAGCAGCTCCTCCCAGGCCTGTTGGGTGCAGGGAGGGGTCTTAGCCTGCAGGTGACTTCGTGATGCCCCCCAGCGGCTTGTTTCCTTTGCGAAGCTGGTTTAGGGAGGGGAGGTTTACCAGTTGGCTGCCTGAGGGTACCAGGATTGGCTCAGGGTCAAGTCTAAGGGGAGGAAAGCTGTGGCTGGGATCCCCACAGAGCTGCCAGTTCACCCCGTGCCTGATGTCCCTCTCCCCTCCCCACATGGCTGGGTCCCCTGCCAGGGTGGCAGACACTCAGTGCTGTTCTGGGTACCTTAGCAGGAAGCAGAATGAGAAGCAGAACAGTCGGGATTTGGGCCTGTGTCTGAGGTTGCAAGCAGCGGCTGGCATCACCTGTCGGGCGGTGTTGGCAGAGACGCCTTCTTACCCCTTGGCGACTTGTTCCAGAAAAGCTGCAGGAAGCAGTGGATCCTAGGTGGGCTGCATTTTTGCCCCTTACACAGTTGTCCAGCTAGAGTGAAGCTGGATTTATAAATGAGGCACAGTAAGAGATGAACAATACACAATAAAGCAGGAGATCACTTTAGAGTCTTGGTGCTTCTGGAATCGTCACTGAGTAGTTTTGCACTGGACCAGAGCAAAGCCGGCTTGTGACTTCGGAAAGTGAAACCCTGCTTGGGGGTGGCGTGCTGTGAGCCCCAGTCCGCTTGGAGATCCCATGCTTGGCTTTCTCCCTTTTATGCCAAGGGCACCACCCCTGTTTCTCCCCCACACACACTTGCCCACTCTAACTGTGCCCCCACTGGCCACTAGCTGGGGGCCAGGCCAGGACACCCTTGCGGGCTCCTTGGGTCCCTCCACCGCCTGGCCCATCCCAGACACTCCCTTTCACCGGAGAATGGACTGGCTTGGCAGCAGCCCGTTGACCCAGCTGGTTGCCAGTGGCTGAGCATCCCGTTTTGAAAAGGTTTCGGAATTGTTTGTGTCTGGAGCTGTTTGTGGGGCTTGCTTTGCTGCAGGAACACCTGTCATGGGGGGCATCTGAAGTCCGACGTGCTGCCGGTCTGACTTGATGACAGGTGGAATTTGTGGAGCGTTTTTGGATTGCCGTGCTTCTGCCCCTAACTGAAAAGCGGTTTCTTTCCTTTGTGCTTAAGTAACAAGCAAGCAGGCAAGCCGATATACTCGAGTCGGCATGCTGAGAACGTGGAAGATTCCAGTTTGTTTTCTGGGGGATTTCTTTCTGACCTGCAATCTTCAAGAAGCAATTAAAAAAAAAAGACTGATTTATTTGAAAGGCAGAGTTAAAGAAAGAAGTCATCCATTTGCTCATTCATTTCCCACATGTTTGCAGTGACCAGCCAGGAACCTGGAATTCCATCTGAATGTCCTTCACGGGTGCAGGAGGCCAAGCACTCGAGCCATCCTCCATGCTTTCCCAGCTACATTGCAGCGAGCTGGATGGGAAATAGAGTAGCTGGAACTCCAGTTGGCACCCATATGGGATGCTAGCACCACGCCAGCCCTAAGAAGCAGTCTTGTGAGGCTGTGCAAGGCATGAACTTGACTGGAGCTGAGTGGGCTCCAGACTCATCCCGACCACGGTGCCCTCAGCTTCCTCGCCTGTCAAGTGGGAGTGGAACAGGGCCTGCCTGGGCGTGGGGTTGTTGTGGTCCAAGGGGCCTGTGGTCTCTGGGTCTTTTCACGTAGCTGTAATGTTAGTGTGATTCTTTTGTCCCCCTCTTTGGTCTCCTACTGGCCATTCGCTTTGCCAAGTCTGAGTTAACCTTTGAACTTGACTTAGCCTGCGGTTGGAGTGGCAGGGCGGCAGTGGCTGCGGCTTGGGGTGTCGTGGGCTCCCCTGGGATCGTAGGTGCTGTTCCTCTGGGTTCTGCTGAAGGGTTGTGGACACAGCAGCTGCCTTGCCGGGTGGCTGAGGGTGGCACTTGTTAAAAATTTTCAGCAGAAACTTACTTTGGGTGCAAAAGGATTTAAAATGGAGGCATTGTGATTTTCATTTTCCACGAACTCTCTGGGGAAACGGCATGACATGCCTAGGTTGCTGAGGCCGGTGTGTGGTACAGCCGTGTAAGCTGTTGCTGGCCTGCTGCATCCCGCGTGGGTGTGCTGCTAGGAATCCTGGGTGCTCCCCTTCGGTGTACCTCACTGCTGATGCGTGGAAAGCAGGTGATGGAGCAGGTCCTTGGGTCCCTGCTGCCCACGGGGGAGACTCAGGTGGAGTGCCCGGCCCCTGGTTTCAGCCTGGCCCAGCCCTGGCTAGCGCAGGCATTTGGGAGGGAACCAGTGAATGAAAGAGCTCTCTCTGTTTCTCAAGCTCTCTCCGTTTCTCTGTCTTTCAAATAATAAACAAATAAACAGAAAAACAAGCAAACTCCACAGGGGCTGTGGTTTGGGTACAATAGGTTAGGCCCCCACCTGTGAGCCTGCATACTGCGTGAGCTCCAGCTGGAGTCCCAGCTGCTCCCCTTCCAATCCAGCTCCCTGCTAATGCACTGGGAAGGCAGCAGAGGCTGGCTCAAGTGCTTGGGCACCTATGTGGGAGACGTGGGAGGAATGCCAGGTTTCTTCTTTTTTTAAAAAATATTTGTTTATTTTTTTATTGGCAAGTCAGATATACAGAGAAGAGGAGAGACGAAGAGGAAAGAGCTTCCGCTGATTCACTCCTCAAGCGGCCACAATGGCCAAAGCTGAGCCGATCTGAAGCCAGGAGCCTCTTCCGGGTCTCCCACACAGGTGCAGGGTCCCAAGGCTTTGGGCTGTCCTCCACTACTTTCCCAGGCCACAGGCCTGGAGCTGGATGGGATGCGAGGCAGCCAGGACACAAACCAGAGCCCACCTGGGATTGCAGTATGTGCAAGGAGAAAACTTTAGCCTCTAGGCTACCATGCCAGACCCTTCCAGGCTTCTGACTTTGGCATGGCCCAGCCCTGGCTGTTGCAGTCATTTGGGGATTCAACCAATGTATAGAGGATGCCTCTGTGTCTCTATGTCTTCCCCTTTCTGTGTCGCTGTTCCATTCAAATAAATAAATATATATATATTTTTTAAATCCACACTAATGGGAGGGGATGTTTGGTACAGTGGTCATCACTGTTTGGGACCGCGGCATCCTGCGCTGGAGGGCCTGGTTGGAATCCTGGCTTCGCAGCTTCCCTTCCAGTTTCCTGTCAGTGCACACCTTGGGAGGGGACAGGTGGTGGCTCAAGTCTTTGTGTCCCTGCTGCCCACGAGCGAGATCCCGGTCCAGATAGGCGTTCCAGCTCCTGGCTGTCCAGGTAATTGGAGGAGTGAGTCAGCAGTGGAGATCTGTCTGTTTCTGCTTTTCAAATAAAAGGAAAATTAAACAACTAAGAACATTTATTTGTCGTAGTGTTGGAAGTTCCAGTCTCAGGACCCAGGGGTCAGCATGGCCCTGCCTGCTAATGGAGTTCTAGCAGAGACTTCATCCTTGTCCCGCCTAGGTCCCTGGGGAACCCCGGCTGTCCTTAGCCGGCAGATGCTGCACCCCGAACCCCACCTCTTGGGCCAGCAGCTGTCCTGTTGCGTGTGTCTGGGTGTCTTCACACATGGCCTGCTTAGAGGAGCGCCAGTTGCTGGACTCGGGGCCCAACCCTGTGACCTCATCTGAGTCTCTCTCACCGCAGTGTTGTGAGGTTTCAGACAGATGTGCATTCTGGGAGCTGCCCTTCCCACCATGGAGGGAGCAAAGAGGGGCTGCCCAGTCCTTGCAGCAGCATCTGTGGGGCTAGGGAGCCCCTCTCCCCAGCGGGCCCCTGGATTTCCTCTCAGCAGAATCCAAAGGCAGTTGGAAAGAGGCCTTCCCCCAAAGCCAGAACTGACGAGATGGCCTCACCGCCT